TATATAAAGAAGAACAATTTGCCTGGGGAAATTGTTGTAAGATTCTTGAAGAGGCATGTGAGGGATGCAATCCTGAAAGCAGTCGCTGGAATACCCCTGAAAGTGGGGGGAAATACCATCAGAACGCTGAAGGATATTCCATCTGAAGTAAGTAGTAAGACAACGGAGAAAGAAATACAAAGAGCTCGTGCTTTTTCTTCAGACAAACTCAATTGGATATAAATGGCCATTTCCAGAAGGCATCACTTTCAAGATCAAAGACAAAAAAGAAAAGATTGACTCTGTTTTGAAAGCTCAAGAATTTCTAAGGGTTCAGCTGGGAAGACCATAGGACGGCAAAAAAGAAGAGGACAGCAAGTCCAGTGGCGAGCTAGACTCTGGTTCCTCTGGAGAGGACTCTCTGTCAGAGCAAGGGGCAGCAGCCCGAAAAAGTCCTTATAAGTTACGGAAGAGAAGGAGAAAGGAGAAGTAAAGGCTGGAGGACTCTGAATTGTGCCTCTGAGAATTTTGAAATGGGATGATTGGGGGTACTGTTTTTAGACAGTTAAATTTAAGCTTTAAAGGAAAAGTATTATAAATGTTTGACTCAGTTTATAATGTGATTAATGATGGGAAGACTTGATGTAACTAAGCTAGTAGGAGGATCTCCTCTCTTGGGTTTTTAGTTAGTAGTGGGTTTTTTACTTTATCCCGTATGGGTTCTTTACTTTATCCCGTAAATGTAGTTTCCCTTCCCTTTTCTTCTGTTATAGTTTTTGTAGTGATATAAAAAATAAAATAAAAAATCCCCTCCGGGGGCTCAAAAAAAGAAAAGAAAAAGAAAAAGGGACTTTGTTTTGAGATGACCAGTTCCAGTTCCAGCAAGACAATGCCACAAGGAAAGTGTTCAAGAAGAAAGAAGATTACAGTGTGGGAAGAGAAACTGACTGTGTGACACCTACTGAGGGAAATTTAATTATTAATTTGTTTTAAATGAAGGAGGGAAAAACAATTGTAAAATGAGATGCCACTGTTCTCTCCTGGAATGCTCTTTATATAGTCAGATTTGATGGTTTGTTAACATAATTGATGATTATTGACCACTCTCAATGTTAAGAAAAGCAATTTCTATATTGTTAAGCTAATACTTTTATAAGCAGTATATGACCTCCAACTCTTGGTTTTTTAGTGGGTTTTCCTTCCTTTCTCCTATAGTTTGTAGATCCTCTCCCTAATTTCATTGTAGTTTTTAGAAAATGCAAATTAAAAAAAAATCCCCTACGTGGGGCCATAAGAAAAAGAGGAGGGAAAAGGGAAATAGTGTTGGGAAGGGAATACAGGGAAAAGTGAGGTTACCCCCAAAAGCCCTTGTGGGTTCCTCACCACACGAATGGGTCCAGATCAGTCAGCACTGCAAAACTGGGCCAAACATTTCCATGGGAGAGGCTGCCAGGGGGAGGGAAGGAGGAAAAGCTGAAGACAGGGGGTCAGATAAATGTTGATGGTTTAGTGGGTGGGAAGGAAAGAAGGAAGCAGGAAAAGGACTATGGGGGCTGCCAGAGAAGGGAAAAGAGGGGATAGTAGGGAGGGGAAAATGAGGTCCTCCACTTCTGAAAGTATAAAAAAACAATTACCATACCATTTTGCTGACAGTTCTAAACTATGTCAAGGAGCACCGACAGTAATTCAAGTTTGTAGTACTAAGTCTGCTACCGAAGCACAGTCATTAAAATGTTTTTATGACACATTTAAGAACTTCTCCACAGGATGGGCATTTGGTGGGAGGAGGAACCTGTTTTTCTTCCTTGGGAAATCTCCTTTGCACAGTTCTGACTGGCCAGCTCAGCTAAGATGCCTTCCCCTTTCTCAAAGAAATCACATATTGCTAATTGGCTGGCCACAAGTATTTCAGGCTGGCTCACATGTAATTCACTGGCTTTGTTTTATTGCAGAACCAAGAGTTTCCCGTTTTCCTGCTGTCTGTCCGAATAATAAAAGCCACTAATATCATTTCTAGAGATTCATGTAAGTTGTGAAACTCCTTCATTGTACCTCTGATTCAAAATATGCTTGACGGGCAATGAAAGTTAGTGCTCGTTGTGTTGCATTATTTCTAGTTAGGTCTAATCTAAAGCTATTATACTTCAATTGTGTTTGAATGTTTTTGATGGATCAACATGGCTACTTCCTTTTTTCCCAAGTAAAAATAGTAACACAGAAGTTATTGTTAGAAATCCTGAATTGGTGAAGCACCATCAAATATGAATAATTTTGTTGGCATCTGAGAACTGATATTTTGTTTCAATCCTGTTGCCTGAGGAACTCCCACTCTTTTAAGCTGCTTTCAATCTGTTATCATACTCAGGTATAAATAGAGAGAAATTGGCATTATCCTAACTATATGTAGTGAAAATGTGTCCCAATGATTTTAGCAGAGCAGAGGCCTCCTTCACATGTGCAGCTGATGTTAATGGGAGCTGTTTCTCCATGCTGAGATCACATACCTCTGGAGAGCATGGGGGTAAATATGTGACTATTACACTCAAACATGCACGCAGGGCTAATAGCCTGGGTCTTTCTGATTCAATCAAGATTGTTCTAAGGTGGCACTTTATGCCCACTCTCTCCTGCTTATAGATACTATATGTGTTAAATACTGGGTTCAAGATGCATTGGACTGAACAGCTCTAATTTATCAAGTGATTTCAGGAACAAGACTGAAACAGCCTTGTTTAAATAGCATGCAAAAACCACACCCAACTCCCAATGATAGGCTATTTACATAACATTAGTTTCTCATTGGTCACCTCCAGAGTCCTGGTGTGCTATTGTTCTAGAGCTCCAAGCTCAGCCAGTCTCTAATACCCAGTCCTGGAATATTCCAGCCCTAACACATAACACCCCTCCCCCTAAGTTCCAAAGCACCTTAACATACATAGTCCTTAAGGTACGTTGGCTCGCGCCTTTCCTGGTGAGAGTGTCTCAGCTCAGATGGTGTTGGTGAAGTCGGGCCACTGGGGGACTTCCGGTCTGTGGCTCAACGATGGCGGTTGCTCTCCTCTACCTCTGGGGAGGCGATCTGCGCACCAGTGGTCCGGAGGGGTGCCACCTCAAGTGACACCGAGCAGAGTCCCGGGGCTCTGGAACAGTCTCTATGGATGTGGGTGACTCTGTGTGGTCAGAACAGTCCCTGGTGCGCGGTGCGTCCCCCTCCCCGCTGCACTCTGGAAGTGGTGGTAGTGGTCCCAGGTGGCTGGCCTCCGTGGCGACTGGTGCTGCTTCGGCTACCTCCAGCAGGAGATGGTGGTGAAACTGGTTGATGTGCTTGCACAGGACCTGTCCACCGTCGATAGATACCTCGTATGAGAGAGGGCCAGTGACTGCATAGACGGGGTCACCTAGAAAAAATCCTCTGGGAGCTTCCTGGCTCTCCAGTGAAGGGCAATGTCCAGTCCAGTAGTCGAGTCCAGTCGAGTAGTTAGGCATTTGCCCAGTTCCAAAGCACCTTAACATACATAGTCCTTAAGGTACGTTGGCTCGCGCCTTTCCTGGTGAGAGTGTCTCAGCTCAGATGGTGTTGGTGAAGTCGGGCCACTGAGCCTATGGTCCCAGTCCCTGTGGATGATCTGCCTAAGGGACTCCTTCATGGTTGGCACCATCCTCTCCGCTTACCTGTTGGTGGCCAGGTGAAAGGAAGTGGAGCGGATGTGCTGTATTAGGTAGCGGCCCAAGAACTCCTGGAACTCCCCCAAAGTGAAGGCAGTCCCGTTGTCCATCAAGACCATGTCAGGTAGGCCGTGCATGTTGAAGATTCATCTGAGGGCCCAGATTGCCGCTCTGGAGGAGGTGGAGGCAACCGGCAGAACCTCCAGCCATTTGGTGTAGGGGTCCACCAAAATAAAGAATATTTGTCCTTGGAAAGGGCCAGCAAAGTCCAAATGCACCCAGGACCAAGGGTTGCAGGTGGACTCCCAATGCTGCACAGGAGCACATGGTGGTTCCAGCTGGGTCTCTTGGCAGGCCTGGCAGTGCTGGACCCGGGCTTCTATTTCACTGTCCATTCCTGGCCACCACACATAGCTCTGGGTGAGTGCCTTCATTCGCACAATTCCGGGTTGTGTCTCATGCAGAGCTGCCAATACTTGCTGGCACAGGGGTGCAGGAACCATTACCCAACAGCCCCACAGTAGGCACCCCTTGTGAGCTGAGAGCTCATCATGGTGGATGAGACGGCTGCAAAGTCCAGGCCCACCCAGCTGGTGGGCCAGCCTCTCCCCACCCAGTCCAGAATGCGGGAGAGGATCCGGTCCTTCGCAGTGTGGTGAGAAATGTGCACGACATACAGAGGGCAGTCGGGAAGCTCCTCCAAGATCAAGATCTGGTGTGCAGGAGCTGGGTCTGGATCTGTGGAGCGGAGCGGCAAGCAGCTGAGGGCGTTCGCATGCCCCATCGCCTTCCCAGGACAGTGGAGAAGGGAGTACTGGTATCTCTCAGGGAATATGGACCAACGGAGAACCGGCAGTGAGAGCATCTGGGGGGGTTGGCAATCTGGGGCAAGAAGTCCCAGCAGAGGCTTGTGGTCCATCACAATGGTGAATGGCCACCCATAGAGGTAGTCATGGAATTTCTTGACCCCCCACAACGATGGCCAGCATCTCATCAATTTGCGCATAGTTGCGCTCGGCCGAAGACAGGGTGTCAGAGTAATATGCCACGGGGACTTCCCTGCCATCCGGCAGCTGGTGGCCAAGAACGGCGCCCAACCCCATATGAAGAAGCGTTGCAAGCAAGCATGATAGGCAGCTTTTTGTTGAAATGGGCCAGGACTTCATTGGAGGTGAGCAGCTCCTTCATGGCCCTGAACGCAGCAGCTTGCTGTTGGCCCCAGACCCATGAGGCCTTCTTGTTGAGGAGGCAGTGCAGCAGCTCCACCAGCACAGCTTTATGGGGCAAGAAGGAATGATAAAAGTTCCGGAGCCCCACGAAAGCCTGTAGCTCCTGATTGGAAGTGGGGGCAGGGGCACTGATGATGGCACGAACCTTGTCTGGGGTTGCATGGATGCCTTCAGCATTTATGGAGAACCCCAGGAACTTGACCTGAGGAACACCCAGGAGGCACTTTCTCCAGCTTCACCTTTAGACCGGCTGACTGGAACTGCTACAGGACAGCATGCAACCGGCTGATGAATTCCCCCTCCGTGGGGGAGGCAGTTAGAACATCATCAAAGAAAGGCTGGACCCCGGGGATTCCTTTAAGAAGAGAGTCCATGAGATTTTGGAAAATTCCCAGGACCACGCTGACACTAAACTGTAGCCACTGCACCTTGAACGCGCACCTGTGCGTGATGATGGTCTGGGCCTCAGTGGTCCCATCATCCATTGGGGTCTGCTGGTAGGCCTAGGTCAACTCTAACTTTCCGAAAATCTTGACACCCACCAGGGATGACAAGACATGGCTGACTACCGAGACCGGGTAGGCATGGTCCTGCAGCACCTTATTAATGGTACATTTATAGTCCACGCAGATGTTCCCCATTGGGCTTAATGGGCATGACAATGTGCAGACTGTGGCCTCTGGGTCCCCTTGGAACGGCAGGCATGGGCAATATGGCCAACTTTTCTGCGGCTTCAACATGTGGCATCTCAGAAATGGCAGGATCTCCACTCATGGGGCTCCTTGCAGCCCCACAAGGTGGCAGGTTCACTGGTGCAAGCTGTGGCAGGTGTGCAAGTGCTATGGCAGGCTGGGCGATGCATCCGCAGGACCTCCTCACTGTCAGACATGTCAGAAACTAAGGAAATGGTGGCCTGGTGCATTGTGGTCAGTCTTCTGGTTGCCAACCTCCCGGGACTTCTTGAATGCCATGGCCTCCTGGATCACCTTTTGGAGGTTTGTGTCCTCTCTGCTGATGAGCTTGTGATGGAGCTTCTCGTCCCAGAGCTTGAACACGAAATGGTCAAGGAGGGCTTCTTCGATGATCTGGAACTTGCATCGAAGAGCCAGATGGCACAGGGCAGCAACATAGTCAGAGGCCAATTAGTTGGGCTTCTGATTCTGCTTGAAGAAATTGAGGCGGTGAGCCAGTTGGGTGGGCTGGGGTGTGAAGTGGTTGGTGAGTGCTATAATGAGACCATCGAACGTGGCGAGTTGCAATGTGGTCAGTGCAATGAGGCCCTGGGTAGCTCCAGGGTGGCGATTCCACAAGAGCTAAGCAGCAGTGCCTTCTTCTTGGCGGTGCCCTTGATTCCCTGGAACTCCACGAAGTACTTCAGGCATTCCACCCAGGCCTCCCATTGCTCTGGGTGAGTGGGGTTGAACTCTGGAAGTAGTCCTGGAGCAGGAGCCATAGTCCCGATTGTGGTGTGATGCATGTGGCACTGGAGCTCGGTGCGTGGTGTGGTGCAGATGGATGCTAGGCTTGCTCAACAGGATCCCACCTTCGTTGCCAGTGTTAAATACTGGGTTCAAGCCGCATTGCAGTGAACAGCTCTACTTTATTAAGTGATTTCAGGAACAAGACTGAAACCTCAGGGCAACTGCCCTATTTAAATAGCATGCAAAAACCATACCTAAACACACCCAACTCCCAATGATAGGCTATTTACATAACATTAGTTTCTCATTCGTCACCTCCAGAGTTCTGGTGAGCTATTGTTCTAGAGCTCCAAGCTCAGCCAGTCTCTGGTACCCAGTCCTGGAATATTCCAGCCCTAATACATAACAATATCGGACAGCTTTGAGGATCTTTCCCACCTGATTGTTTCCCCCCTTTCTAAGATGGTAAAGATTGAGTGGGAAAGATAATTGGTGTAGTTCTGCTCCACAGAGATATGGGTCCAACCTGCATTGGTCTTTCCCACTGCTGTGCCAACGATCTCACATCATCTCACAAATTTCTGTCTGCATTTCATACCGCATCTGCTCTCCTACTGTTTCATCTCAGCATCGGCTGTCTGCATCATTTTATTGCCATTTAGTGGCGACTTTGAGGTCACTACAGTGTCCCACCGTATTATTTGGATTTGGTTTTAAGGTAGTTTAATTGCCGCTCCCTGCCCTCAAGCCGCTGTGAGCAATAAGCTGACAACTGGAGCCAAATCCTCCCCCCCATCTTTTCTAAAGAGATACACAAATTGTCATAAAGGAAACTAGTTAGCTGAAAATCCAGTCATCTGTATTTACAAGCAGCCAGGGAACATTTTTCTGCAATCAGCTTTTTATACTGAGCCAAATGGAAGGCGAAGGAAGCTGGTGCCACAGCAGAATGAAACAGCTTTACATAGCAAATGCATATTGGGCCATGGTTTCCACAAAGCCTTGTGTGTGGAGGCTTCATTTCTTCCAATTTTATCTGCTTAGGATCTCAACCTGTTGGTCTGATGATTGTATAAATTGCCTTTAGCCACTGTACTGCAAATAGTTCAGATGCCACTAAGGAAGGACCTAGATGTTACAAGAGACAGAATGAGTGCCTACATCTCCTCTTCCTCACAATGTTTATTGTAAAACAAAGTAAGATGTGATGTCATTGTGCTATGTGTTTTTCTTCCCCCATCTCACATTATTTAGCTTTATTGGTGGAGGCAGGAGGATGCCAAGCATTGTGTTTTATTGGGCATTACTAAGGAAATGGTAATAAGTAGTCATTGACATGATAGAGTTATATAAAATTATGAGTTTTGTGGGCTGGAGAAAGAGGACAGGGAGAAGCTTCCTCCCTTTTTCATGGGTTCATCCAGTGAAGGTGAAGGGTGGGAAATTCAGGAAGAACTTCTTCACACAGCACATAGTTAAACTGTGGAACTGTGGAACTTGGCCACCAACTTGGAAGGCTTTAAAAGGGGAGTGAACAAATTCATGGAGGATGGGGCTATAAAGGTCAACTAGTCTTGATGGATATCTACCTCCTCCAGTGCCAGAGATGGTATGCCTCTTTGTATAAGTTACTGGGGAGCAGAGGCAAGAGGATGCTGTTGCAGTCATCCTACTTGTGGGCTTCCTAGAGCAGCTGGTTGTCCACTGTGTGAACAAAACGCTGGACTTGATGGACCTTTGGTCTGATCCAGCTTAGCTCTTATGTTCTTACATTCATGCAGTGTCATGCTCCCTGACAGAGGGGAGTAACAATGGGGAGAAGGGGAAAAACACTCAGACCAATTTCACACAAGAGCTGCGCCGCGGTCATTCCTCCCTTTGCCCCACTTCTATTGGTCCTGTTTTTTGAGGATCACGAAACCGCGGGGAAAATTGGGCAAAGCCGTGTGTCAAAATGTGGCCATGTGGCTTTGAGTGGGAAATTGACCAATAGAAGCAGGGCAAAGGGAGGCACGACTGCGGCACAGCTCTTGTGTGAAATTGGTCCCAGTAAATCAGACTATACATGTGTGGTAGCAGTGTGGGACTATTCCTTGAGGACATGGCTTCCAAACCATTGTATCTTTATTTTCTTCAGCACTATGTGCTTTGGATCTCAGGCTGCAGTTCTCTTGCAAAATCTAGTTCCATCCTCGGGGTAAACTAAATCACTGGTAATTGAGGCAAGAACTCTCCAATTTTATGTCAAATGTCAAGCAATTCCTCAACGAAAGGAGAAGCATCTGAGGCATTTAAGATTCCACAGAGAGTGCAACAATATATTGCTTCAGCAGTTCATAGGGAAAGTGTTCCAACCCTTTTATCATTCGAGTTGCCCTTTTCTGCACTTTTTCCAAAGCTATAATATCCTTTTTAAGGTGTGGTGACCAGAGCTTGATTATCTTTTGGAGTAGGTCAAGGTGTTTGTAGTCCATAGAATCATATTGTTGCAAGCGACAGAAAGGCTGTTTTATGCAACATAGCTGAACTGATCTCACATCTAGTATGTTGTACTAAATGGGAAAGAGAAATGTAAAACATGTGAAATAAAATCTTCTGCAGGACCAATTTGATTTGAAGTGTTGGAAACATTTCAGTTCAAGAGGTTGTTCTTCAGGTAAAGTTGTTCACAGCAAAATAAAATACAGCAAAATAAAGATTAGCCTATTAATTACTTCACTGGATAAAGATGTAACACCTTTCTTCTAACAACACACAACTTCTACTGCCCTTAGGCACTCTGAGGGTTTTTCACAACTAGTTTCACCCTCTAGACCAACTCAAGGTGCCAGTTTAGATCTTTGAATTGCTACAGAATCTTGGGCCAGCCTACCCGAAGGACTGTCTTTTCCATTACGAGCGTATGCACCACCTCAGAGCCTCTTCCTGGTTGAGCCTTCCCTCTGAGTTGTGTGTTTGGCAGCTGTTTGGGCCCACTCTCTGTGACAGCCCCAACTCTATGGAATGGTATCCCTGAAGGAATATGGAGGGCACCTTTGTTAGTCTCCTTCTGGAAAAGATGCAAAGTTGCCCTCTATGGGTGGGTGTTTAGCAGAAAACTATATTATATTGTATCATTATATTATAATGAAAGTGAGTGTCATAGTTGGTATTCTTAATTGATTGGTTTTAATTGCTTGCTTGCTGGTCTAGCCTTTAGAAGTAGCCTTAAACATTGGGATTGGCAGTATATCAATATTTTCATAAATAAAATTAATAAACAGGCTGTTTTATTTCCTGCCACAGTGTCTGCATCTGATTGCTATGTGACCTTGAGTCTGCCAACAGCATCAAAAGAACAATTCAGAACCCAAACCATCAAAAACTCTGACACTCCAGTCTGGAATGAGACTTTCTACTATAGAATTCAACCTGAGATCAAGGTAAAGTTAGATAATTGAGGAATCATTCAATTTTCTGGAAAGCCTGTTAAGGGTTGTTGGGTTGAGGTGGGTGGGAATGACTCTTAAAACAATAATGTAGAACATTAGCTGCTTGGTTTAGGAATTTTCAAGAGAATGATATTTAAAATTTTAGAATTCCACCCTCCTCTAGAAATAGCCATGCACCATGTAAGTAATTTTGTGCACAGGTACGTGTATCAGAGGCAGATAGAGAGGGAGGAAATAAGATTGTATCTACATAGGAGGAGAGAGGAGAAGTGACAAGAAGTTCATATTTCAAACATGAAGAGTTCTAAAATTCACCTTGTATGAATTTTTACCCAGATTTTGGAGTACTAAATTACCTGATCATCTTTCTGAATGAAACTGTAACTGTAAACATTCCTCTTTGTTTGTTTCTTTTGTTTCCAAATATTGTACAGAGCACTGTGCATGAAAAGTTTTCCACGTCTTTCTGTTCCTTCTGTTCATATGCAACTTCTCCCTCTCCATGTTACAACTGAATACTGGCACTTGATAAAAAATGTCAAACCCCCCACCAGTATGACTGTATATGTGGTTTTATCTCAAGATCCTTTTTGTGAGCATATTAATAAAATGCAACATAAAAAAGAAAGGGGTTGCATTCATACAGATGCCCACATTACACTTTTGTAGTGACAGCATTGTTTATCTGAGGTTGCAGTCACATGCACCTTTAGATCTGACGTAGCTGCGAATGCCTGACAGATCTGGGAAAGGTCCTGCAGTTGTTGGCAACCCGTGCTGCTCCGCCACAGAAGCGGAGTTAAAAGGCACTGGGGAAAGTCCGGTCCTAATGCTTGCTGACGGGCTATGGGCAAACTTTCCCCTGTCTGACTGCTCAAGTGTGCTCTCAAGCTGTCGGGATGGTCTGATCATTCCATTCCGCCTCTGTGTCGTTTCCCCCCCTGCTTAGCAGTATGTGCATAATTGCATACTCCATAGGGAACCCTCAGTCCTTGTTTATGTGCATGGGAAACAAATGGCAAAAAAACCCACTTGCATGTGGTGGTGTCTGATCACACAGTGACAGGCTGAGCTAGAAGCACAGGGGACTGTTTTTTCTACTCATTAATGATTGATAGTATGCACCGGAGGCAGTCTTGAAAGAATTTTAGAGGGCAGCACATAGCTGCTTTTCACATAACCAAATGATATAAGCTAGAAAGGAAGAGGGAGTATAAAAAATACAAAAGGTGTAAGGTCTTATCTGATGAAACTTGAGTGAAACGGTCCATTGAGAGCTATACCATCAGAAAGAAAAGCTTGAGACTAATTTACTTCAAAGATAACACCTTTATGATTTGTTATTCACTGGATAATTAAAGAAGATATATTTTTCTGTGACAAGGTTTCATTATCATATCACGGTTGTTTTTCCTACCAACTTTAGCCTGTCCCATGATCTCTCGTCCTTGACTAGACCCTTGGTGGAGGCAGGGATTCCCCCCACTGCCAGGTTCCACTGCATCACTGCCAATCAGATGGCCCAGTCATTGGCCCAGTCGATGTTGTGTCGACATGTCTGTGTCTCTTCTGATGTGACCCAGAAATGATGTCATCATGTTGGTGATGTTTGGGCAATGCTCTGGTATTTGTGCAAAAACTCTATGGTAGAAGCCAAAGTGACCATAGAGATTTTGCTCAAATACCAGAGCATCATCTTGCTGTTGCTGTGTAATGACATCACTTCTGGGTCACATCGAAAGTGACATAGACATGTTGCTGCATTGTTGGCTGGGGTTCCCTCCCACTCCTGATAAATCCCTCCATCCTTACTCAGTTGCCAGGAGGGACCTGGCAACCCTAGTTCATGGTAGAGGCAGAAGGAAACAATTTTATCCCCTTACGCCTCTCTGTTTCAGCCCCCTGACCCGTGTGGCTATCATTTGTGGGTCCTATGACCTCAGGAATAAACTTTTCTGGGGTTGGAAGGGCCTGCTGGGGGGAGAAGAAAGTTCCACAATCATTAGCACTTTCCACTGAGGTACTGCTGGATCCAATCTACACATTCTAAATAATGTATCTTACATCAAAAATGATTGGATGAAGTTCCATGTTGGTAACTGTAAGGTGATGCACATTGGAACAGAAAAATTCCAACTTAATGTATAGACTAATGAGATCTGAACTGGCTGAGACTGAGAGGGAAAAAGATCTTGGGGTTGTAGTGGATAGCTCAATGAAAGTGTCAACTCAGTGTGCTGCAGTGGTGAAAAAGGCAAACTCTAAATTAGGGATTATTAGCAAAGGGATTGAGAATAAAATGACCACTATTGTAATGTCCCTGTATAGACGTATGGAGCGTCCTCATTTGGAATAATGTGTACAGTTTGGGTCACCATAGCTCCAAAAGGACATTGCAAAGCTGGAGAAAGTACAGAGGAGGGTAACCAAGATGATTAAGGGGTTGGAGCACCTTTCCTATGGGGAAAGGCTGAAGAGTCTGGTACTTTTCAGTTTAGAAAAGAGATGACGGGGCGGGGGGAGAATGGATGGATGATAGAGGTTTATATATAAAATTATGCATTAACTTTTCAGTTTAGAAAAGAGATGACGGGGCGGGGGGAGGATGGATGGATGGATGATAGAGGTTTATAAAATTATGCATTAATAATAATAATAATAATAA